GAGAACCTAAAAATTCAATGTGGGATTCAATTAAATTGTTTGAATCATATTTGATTAGAGGGAGAGTTGAAAATTTCATTTTCCTCCGCTGATAAATCTAGCATTCAATCAATTTGTTTGGAGGGAATGTTAAATTTTTTTAATTTCTTTAAAACTAGTGACTTTTTTTATTTATTTATATTAATTATGACTTTATTAAATATTATTAGTAAATACTATGTAACAATTTTTATTTTCATCACTTTTTTTTATTATTATTTCAGTAATTATATATATTTTTATTTATATATAATTTTTAATTATATAATATTAATTATGATGTCACGGTTCGACCCAATGGTTGAACCAGTGACCCGTCAACCCGATTCCTTTTTCGATTCGCTTACCGATCCGATTTTCAAAACATTAATACTGTCATTTTGACAAGTTTACACCCCCGATACTCAGTAAGTTTACTAGGAGAAATTTTACCCAATATACCTGACTGAGCTAAAGACCATAAGCGGTTAGCAGACAAATGCCCTAATCTAGAATACCACAAGTAGAAAGAACTGGATAGAGAATCTAACTGAAAAAAGGAAAAGGCAGTCGGAGAAGTTGTCATAAGCAGATGCAAGCTCTCCACCACATAGAGGTCTCCAACTCTACGGCCGGTTCCAATCTGCTGCTTGGACATTTGATCCTGCACAGAGCAGATAGAAGAAGAAAAGATAACATCATAACGAGAGGCATCAAGCTAACTAATAGATAATAAATTGACAGATAACTGAGGAACATAAAGGATAGTTTGAATAGAGACAACAGATATAGCAGACGGTAGGACAGACCTAACAGATATAACATACATACTAGACCAGCATTAACAGTAATAGAAAAGGGAGGGGGAGTACAATTTTGAAGTAAGGAGAGATGATGAGTCATCTGATGAGAAGCATCAGAGTCAAAAATCTAGATAGATGAAGAGATACTTGAAGAAGACCCAAGTAAACTTGAATGAAGAGAGGAAACAACTGAAGCAGATGAGGAGAGCTGGAAGGTAGACAGTATATACTGAAGTTGACTAATCTAAACACTCAAGGAAGCTAAGTCAGGATCAGGAGTCGACGCAGATGCAGTGGAACTGACGGAAGGACGAAAAGTACTTAGAAAAGGAGCTCGGAACTGGGTTTGAGACTACTAAGAAGATGTGGTAGGCAGACGTCCATTCTTAGGACAGTGATACTTCCAACGGCCCTTCTGATGACAGAAAGTACACTCATTTGAAGCCAGCAGTCTATTTCTAGGCCTAACAATCTGATTATCTGACATTGTAATAAACCAAAAAAAGTAGAAGAGAACTGATGGGCAAAGTATAATAAACAGAAAACTGAGGGACTTTAGTATAATAAACCAAAAAGTAGGGTTTTAAGTGGGACTTTAGTCAGAACTCAAAATACAACCAATACTAAGAACCAGATGAAGAGATAGAGAGAGCAAGAGAGAGACTAAAGTCGAGAGAAGTCGATCAAGATTGAAGCCAATCATAAAGCTCTTCAAACTCAAGAACCAGAGAGAGTTATGATGCAGGTTTGAACTAGAGATCGAAGCACATAGAGGAGATGAAAACCAAAAATTGATCGAGAGAGATGTCGCACAAACTAGAGTGGTAGAGAGAGAGAGAAGTTACGAGCCAGAAGTGCAAACCAGACAACCCAGATGACCAGACGAGGCAAACAAAACACGAACCAGATGACATATGATCTGGGTCTTCTCAAACCAAGTTGGTCGCGATTGATTGGAGTGCAAGTCGAACTTAGATGACTCATGAACACTCAATCAAACTAGAGATGGGTCAATCGATCTAGGAGATGGGTCAAAGCAGACGATTGACTGAATGAACCAAAAGGCTAAAGTAGATGAACCAAAAAGATGGCTGAAACAAACAAACCAGAGAAGATTTGACAAGCGAAGCTAGGGTTTCGAACCTTGCTCTCATACCATGTAAGACTTCTGAATGATTTCTGTATATTCAATTGTGTATAATACAAAGAGTACAACCAATATATATAGCAATCCTAAACTTAATCTAAAATAGAAAATAAGAATAACCGTATACAATCAATCTAATATTCACATAATCAATCTAAAATATACAATCAACCTAATATATATATTTCCATAATTAACATAATATTCTCACAGGCACTCCATGCAACTTATAGACTTCCTTGAAGAAGAGGTTAGCAATATTTGTAGCATCCATGGACTTCTTGCAAGGTATAAAATGTGCCATATTGGAGAAACAGTCTGCCACCTTCACCATAATAGAATCACTCCTCCTTTGTGTAAGAAGTAAACCCAACACAAAGTCTATTCTAATGCATTGCCAAGGACCATCCAGCATCAGTAAAGAAATATATAATCCTACATTAGTTGCAGTCCCTTTGCTTTTTTGACAAATTTGACACCACTTCACATGGGTGCCCACATCCTTGGTCATGCCCGGCCAATAGAAAGTATCTTTAAGTAACCCAAGCATCTTATCCTTGCCGAAATATCCCAATTTGTGATGCTCAATCAACAAATGCATCCTCAAGGAACAACTAGGCACATACAACTTAAGGCCGTAGCAGAGGAAGCCATCTCTAATCATGTAGCTTGGATAAGTAGCCCTATTCCTTTTTTGCAAAGCATCAAAAATCTTAGAGAAGTAAGGGTCACTTGCATAGAATGTACGAAACTCATCAAAACCCACAACTTCGTTCTTCATTTCAATTAAAAGAGTCGTTCGCCTACGCAAACCGTCGGCCACTTTATTAAGAACCCTTAATTTATGTCGCAAAGAGAATGTAAATTGTTGCAAATAAACCACCCATTTGGCATGTTTCTTGTTGACATGGGATTGGCTATTGACGTACTTGAGGGCCTCATGGTCAGTGTCTCGCATGAACTCCTTATAAGCAAGGTAGTAGCTCCAATGCTTGATGGCATAAAATTCCAACTCATAAGTAGAATACTTGAGTTTAGCCCCATTCAACTTTTCACTAAAGAAGGCAATTGGCCGCCCTTTCGCCCTTCTTGGCCAAGGACACCACTAATGCCCAATCCTGAGGCATCACAATCAAGTATTCAATTGGAATGAGACCAATAGACTGGCAAAAGGATAGCTTCCAAAGCAAGGGTGAAGAATGTGACAAAAGATGAAAGGATCGACTATGCATCCACTAGGTAAGAAACACACATGAGAAGCTAATCAAGAGCGAGAATAATGCAATGCATTATTCCTTCTATCCCTTAGACACAATCGGCAAATGAGCATCACTTCCATCAGCATACCAACTGAAGCCAACGCCCAAAAGAGGCATGTAGAAGCAGGAAACACTTACAACTTCAAATAAACTCTGTGAAGTTTTCAATAATAGCATTGTACCTCTTTCAAGGCACAATTTGTTGCTCATTTGCTTCATCTCATCTCTTTGATTATGAGTTTGGCTTGTATTAACATCATTGCTCCTTCCAATTGAGAAATTTATCTCTATTCCTTCACCCAAATTTATGAAGCAAAAACTTTGGTTCATCTAAGTTGTTGTATGATTAATAACCAGTTTCAAATTTGAGTCAAAACTCAAACTCAAAGGCCGAATCGTAAATCCAACCAAGTCGATGCAAGAAGAATCGAATCTGATTCCTGTGCTTGAACTGAATCGCAATAGTTGAACAAGCCACGAACTGGAGTCGCAAGCCACAAACTGGAACAAGAGAGTCGCAGATGAACTCAATAGATGATCAGGTCGAAACTCTAGATCTATGAGATTACACTGTGCGACTGCAATGAGCAGATTCCAGAACTCAATTCGACTCCAAATGACGAACCAACGTCGACTCAAATGAGAACCCAGATGTTGGCTCACAATGAGGTTCCAAGTCACAACATGTTCTCTGAGATTTTCTAAGTCATAAACTCGACCCTCGCGAACTTGAAATTGCAATACACTACCCAGGCCTAGTTTGAAGGCTTTGATTAAGTGAGTTGCATGACTGATCGAAGTCAGACTTGAAGATTCGTAGGTTGTAGATGAGTTCAAAGTTAGATCGAGAAGTCTAGGTTCAAAACTCAAAGAGCACAATCTTCAAGTCAGAGATGAACTGACATTGCAAGACCAGTTCATACTTGAAATCCAGAGTGCCTCCGAACTCGACTCAAGAACTCGAATCAAAGAGTGAGATAGAATCTAGGTCACAATCAGATTGACAAGTCAAATTTAGGGTTTCAGATCGAATCAGTTCTCCTAAAAAACTGCGATTCAAGTTCGGATCTCAATCAAAGGTTCAAATCAAGTTCGGATCTTCAACAGGGCCTTCAGATTCGATTTCGGATCTAGGCCTTGAACTTGAATCAAATTACGAAACAAGTTGATATTTATGAAACCTAACTTTGAATTGAAGCGATTGCAACTCGAACCTTGGAGTCAAGATCACAACTCACACAAATCGCAAAACAGATCACAAATCGAATCAATTACGGCTTGATTTTCTCGCAAGGCTGACTCTCATCACGAAGTAGCAATCATGTTCGATGCTTCTGGAGCTGGTAATCTCAGGTCATGAATCAGATTAACCACATCTTGTGTTTCTGTGAATGAACAACCAGGTTTGGGCTAAGAACTGAGTGAATTCAATTCATACGATTGTCACATGAAAAGGAACAAAGAATCTGAATTGAAGCTCTGATACCAAATGATGACATCCAAATGAAAATCAAGAATCAAACTAAGAGAGAGAAGACAAATGCCCCAATTAGGGGTAAAATCCCCAAGGGTTAGAGAGAAAAACCAAGTTCTACTCCAATCTCAATGTATATTCTTTTTAATCCAAAACTCAGTGCAATGGGTATTACATCACCTATTTATAGACTACAACAAACAAGCTATTTAACATTCACCTAATCTTATTTATTCTACTACATCAGTGGGGCTTACAGGACAGATGCAATAGAAAATATGAATTGGTGTAGAGTTTACCAGCGAAAGCACCAATGACAGCATTCTCAGGATCATTCAGATCTCTATTTGCCTGGAAAATGGGTGAAAACAGACACAAAATTACTAACAGTGAAAAGTTTCATGAGTAAAAAAGTATAGTTCTTTATACAGAAAAGGGGAGCTGAGGGGATCCAAGTCCAACAAGCAAGTGGCCTTTCACTTCAGTACTAATAATACAATACAAACAATATGAATCTCATGAATGATATAACCTAGTCATTTGCACTTGTGCTTGGAGGTACAAAAACATAGGAATAAAATGCCGGAAAATTTTCACAGGACAATAACACACGTGAAGGGGAGAATGATAGAGAACGGGAACTTCCCTCCACAGCACAAGTTACTGAAAACCTCAAAATGAATTATTTCTGTTTGACTTGCTACAAATCAGTTAAACTATACCTTATAAAGTCCTGCCCTATCAATGTCAAGAATAAGGGAAATTGGGATTCAGTAATAAATGGTGAAAAACAGTAGATCAAGTCTGCAAAAATTGGAATTTTTTTTGTTCATGGAATTAACTCCCTTTTTAATCATCATCGCACAAAACATCTTCAAAATTAGTACCACCTTGTGCTTTTGAATTTAGATTGCGTTCCACCTAATAAATAGGCAGGGATGGAGCCAGCGTATGCCATGTGCCAGAGAGGGGCAGCTGCCCCTCTCAAATTTGTGAAAATTACTATCTAATCTATAATTAGATAGTTTTTTAATGTCCCCTTTTCGGTTTGCTCACCAGTCCCATTTTAAAACCTTGAGGCCAGCTGGCCTTGCATGCTGGTGCACCGTTTAGGTCTTGCATCGATTCTAGCTCGATTGTTTTGGATTTTAGTTGATTTTTCCCATATCCCACATTGAAAAATGAACCTCATGACTTCCTTTGAGCCTCCTATATAAATATCCCAAGCCTCTTCATCCAAAAATATTTACAAACACTCAAATTCCTGAGTAAGGCTGCAACTTCCGCACTACTCTAGCTGGCGGTTTCCCTAGTTCAAAGTTTTTTTCCTTGCTCTGGTGGTTCCACATCAAGGCAAGTTCTTGAAGTTATAAAAAGTTGGTCAAGTCGAGGCTTTAGTGGTGGTTCAGCAGCAGTTCTCTCCCTTTCAAAGTAGTTTCTCTTCTAGGTTTATTTTAATCCTTTCTTATGTTATTTCTCATATAGTTTAGTTTATGATAGTTTTGATTATGCTATTTTTTTATGCCTTATGCTAAACATGTTCAATTATTTAATTATTGTGTTCATATATACATTTATGTAAGTTTCGCTTTTGTTTCCAAATTCCAAACATTTTAATGCAATTTAAATAAATTTAAAATGTAGTTTCCAAGCAGACCGAAACGACACATTAAAACAAAATTTTGATCCATGAATAGAACATATAAATTTCAATTCAACACAACTGTGAAGAAACTATGAGTGACGATTTTCTGCACATCAGGGGAAATGGAGAACCAAGTAAAGAAAGCACATTCCATCAAATTGTGCACTATACCAATGTAATTGATATTTAAAAGGAAAAAATAAAAAAGAAAAATTAAATATTCTACCGCCAGCTTATAACCTATCCGAAGCTGCTCATATATGCAGAACTGGATCGCGTCAAATGGCAAATCACGCAGTAGAAATGATCCATAACCCTACAATATCAAAAAAGGTCAAGGTACATGCACAACATAATATGCAAAATTCTATATTTCATGACATGTGGGTTACATGAAATATCTACTTACAACTATGAGCAAAACAACAAAACTCCAAAGAAAATTTCTCATACCAACTGAAGTCCTCAAACTTCGCCAAGAGGGAGATGCAAAATTTGGAAACTAAAATATACAGAAACTGAATTTTGGGCACTTGAATTCTATCAAAGAGATGATGGGAAAATATATTTCATACCGCATAGAGACCTTTGAAACCCTCCCTTGAAACAATAGCACGAACAGCATTTGGAGCCGAAGCAAATTGGCTGGTCTGCATCCTTTGCTTAACAACCTGCAGTTTGTCAGAATAAAAAATAAAAAATAAAAAAAAATCAACAGACTAAAAAGCATAAAACTGTAGAAAAGTAGTCCTTGTGAAGATTGCAAACATGAAATGCACAACTTAACTACCTCAGTTGGAACACGGATGAGAGAAGCAGCAAGCCCTCCAATGGCACCTGCAGTCTAAATAAAATTTGACACTCTGAAGAAAGCTGGCCCATAGCGTGGACAAAGGAAAAGCACTTCCAAAGCAAATAAAAAATATTAACAGTAAGGTAGCCCATGCACTGAAGGGAACATGATACAGAATGTAGATGTCCAATATTCAGTTCGCACACAGCAACTTTCCACCATGTGAAGGCTTAATTTACAATTTTATTAAATAATGTCCTTTGGCATTTAATATTTAGTTTCTTATTATTATTTGTTTTCCTATTTTATTAGGGTTTCTAATTTCCCATTTCATTAATTTAGGATAGTTATTAGTTAGCTTATAAATAAGAGACTTTGGCATTGTAATAGGTAGGCTTGAATTAATGTAATTGACAGTTGTTTAAAGCTGTGACATTTATGTGATTAATTAGGGTTGTGGTCCTTGCGTGTTTCTCTCCTCCATTCTCTCCTATTCTCTGTCCCTTAGTTGCACGAAGCGGGAGCGGGGGCGGGAGCGGGAGCGGGGAAGCGTGAGTCAATAGAAGTTTCTTAGGTTGGGAGCGCCTCGGGGAGCGGTAATATATAAATATATATATATATGTTTTAATACACATTAAAAGTTTTTTTTATAAATATTTTTTTAATACATATTAATTATTTTATTTATTTATTATATTTTTTAAATAATGTGTTAAAATATATTAAAATAAATAAAAAATAAAAATTGGAGAGTGGTGAGATAGACACAAATTATATTATTTATTAGATTTATTATATGTTATATATATATATATATATATATTTTATTAGACACAAATATGTTAATATAATTTATTAGATATATATTTTATATAATAAATTAGATATATATATTTTATATATAACCAATTATATTGTTATAGGTTGAAAATAGAGACGCATGACAAGAGAGAGAGAGAGAGAGAGAGAGAGAGAGAGAGAGAGAGGAAGGAAGGCAAATCGAAGGCGACGACATGGCGATGCAGATCGGAGGAGCTAACGAGTCTCTACGGCAGATCGGAAGGTAGATCGAAGGCGAGAGACTGAGATCAAAGGCAGATCGAGCAGATCAAAGGCAGATCGAGCAGATCGAAGGCAGACGCACCAGGTTTCTCTCTCTCTCTCTCTCTCCCTCTCTCTCTCTCTCCCCTTTACGATCCCATTTTCATTTGAATCGCGTTTCTCTCTCCATAGAAACGCGATTCTTACGCATTTCTTTCTAGGAAGCGCGGAATCGCGATTCTGAGTAAGAATCGCGGCCTGTTTGCGCGAATCCTGTAACTAAGCTCTGTCCCCGTCCCTATTCTACATCAAAAGGATAAGATTGGCATATATCATATAACCAAAACAGTTAGAATCCAAGGGCCATTGAGCGATATTACTAGTAGAGGCAAAATGATAAGTCAGAAAGCAGTCAGTCTTTTCGGTAAGTCAGTATTTGCAAGTCTTGTGGTCCGAACATAGTAAAGAGGCGGCACTCCAGAAAGCTTGTGGGGAATGGGGAATGAAGACCAGACAGCTTGATCCTAAGAGAAGAAACAAAGATAAAACCGAGACTCAGGCCAAGGAGATCAGATAGACAAAAAGTACTTTCACTCATAAGGAGAACAAATCCTATCTCTTATCTCTCTAGTTTCGCAACTCTTGGCACAAAATTAGCAGACAATTTGGAGGCAAGGATCAATGTGTTGTTTCAATATCCTGGAATGGAAACATTTCAAAAACATAGAGGTAAACAATAAAAGAATTTGGAAACATATGCAAATGTTTGGGAACAAACACTAAAGCCTATATAAATATTTATATTTTCTCAATAATTGTTTTTTTGATAAATAAAGTTTATTGAAGAAAGAGCATCAAGGATTATATTTTTTCAATAATTAAATAATTGAACATGTTGATATCTGCACATTGTAAGAATTTATGTAATTTATGTATGTATTATTGATTGATGTAGATGTTGTAATTTACAAATGTTGAGTTGCTGTTTATATAGGAGATGTTGAGTGTAGTAGGTGAAGTGGAGGTGGTAGTGGAGTGTAGTAGGTGAAGTGGAGGTGGTAGTGGAGTGTAGTAGGTAAGGTAAATTCTAACACACATCTGTCTGCATAATGGGCACAAATGTACAATTCAGAAGTAAACTCAATGCGAATCAAGAATTGTTAAATCAATGTCAAACAATTCAATCATATTTGTGTATATGATTCTAAATGTGCATAAGGTTTCAACTAAGGTTTTACAAAATTATCAAAAAATAATGACATTAGCAACAAACAAAAATTCAAACATTTCCAAGGTGCGGGAGGCCCTTTGGGAAAACAAAGTCAAATTTTGTTTTATTATTATTTTTTTTTAACATGACTAAGGTTCAATAAAGATCCATAAAGACTAAAGCTCATAAACAAAAGGTTTAAACGGTTAGTTGGGAAAGGGGCTTCACCATTGTAAGAGCACTTAGAAAATATGAGGAAGAAGAACTCCGAAAATATGAGGAAGAAGGAATATATTTCTGTTATATTCAAAACTTCTTATCTTACAAGACCAAATGACACTCCTTATATAGGAGATATTACAAACATCATTATAACCTATGAAGCACCGGTACTCCTAAAATGTTGCCGTACAAGTACCGGGTACGTACTCATATTATATACATGCCACCAACACCACTATCATATTATATACATGCCACCAACACCACTATCATATTATATACATGCCACCAACACCACTATCATATTATATACATTAACACAAATTTCCAGCAAGAGCATACGTTATAGATTCTACCACTAGTAGTAGTAGTGATGAAAAAACAAAAAAGAAAAGTATCAGTGACAATCTTTCCAAAAAAAGATGCTTACAATAACAAAGAAAAAGAAATAATTGACTTAAACATGCTTGTTTCATCTTCTCCTCTTCTCTTTTCTACTTTCTCAGAATTTTCTAGTAAGTTCAATAAATTTTTTTCGCAAATCTTTTCTCTTCACAAAACAAGACAAATAAAAATAATCATTGTTGGATATTCCTAAAAGGAGTTGAAGCAAACTCATTGTTACAGTATTTTTCGAAGTGTTTTGGTGAACTTCAGTGTGTTTCAAACTGTAGTATTGTTTAGGCAGAAATATTAAAATTCCGGTATCCCATTAATGTTTCATGCTGGCTTCCTAGGAAATGGAAGCAATTCAACCATTTTGATGGAACCCCTTGCTTTATACTTTCGGTGCCAATTGGCATCTTATGATTGCCTCTCCTCTCTATAAAGAGAGTGTACATTTCTTTGTAAACATACACAACATAATAGAAACAATTCAGTGTCAAAAAAAATTTTTTTGTTAAAATTGAGATATTATTGATTGATTAATTGATTGATTTTCTGTCTATTACAAATGGTTCCTTATATAGATGTAGGTGTAGTGGATGGCGGTAGTGGTGTAGTGGGTTAGGTTTAGTGGAGTAGGTGAGGTGGTAGTGGTGGTAGGTGATGGTAAATTCTAACAGTTGGATATTCCTAAAAGGAGTTGAAGCAAACTCATTGTTACAGTATTTTTCGAAGTGTTTTGGTGAACTTCAGTGTGTTTCAAACTGTAGTATTGTTTAGGCAGAAATATTAAAATTCCAGTATCCCATTAATGTTTCATGCTGGCTTCCTAGGAAATGGAAGCAATTCAACCATTTTGATGGAAATGAAATGAAATTTTATTCATTGCTTTGAGGATGTCCCGACGAGAAAAGTCAATAAGGATAGAAACTGGAGTCACTAGAACAGGTCTTGCATCCCTTTTGATCATTCCCAATAGAAGTCAGATGGATATTGCATGCCAACACTTAACCTAAACTCCCAAGTTATGTGCCCAATACTTCCAAGACATATCCATATTTTCACATTGTTTTCTTTCTTAATTCAATCAGGTAACTAATGCTTCTTGAATATTGTGCCACACATGTACACATCCCTTGGATGACAAAATGTGGCCTTAGAGTACAAAATCAAATTAGAAGTGTGTCAGATGGTGTGACAAGAGTTACTTGGAATACAATGAAGAAGATTAAGCAATATATTCAAGTAAATCATGTTGGATATATTTTAGACAATGTATAAAGCAAGCAACTCCACTTTCCTCACAAATTTTCCATTATTAATAAAAAATTTACTATTTTTTAAATTTTGCTTAGTTATTCAGTTTATATTTTGTTGTACACTCTGAATCAATATAATATTTCAAAAAATATTCATACTATAATGTGTGCGTGATGGTGTCTCTGCACCCTGTATCGTTTTTATGCTGTCATATAGAGGCAAACTCAATATACAGCCAAGTTGTCAGGCAATGTCAGGGCACAAGCAATCAAACTAATCCAACAGCACCATTGGACAGGTTGAGTGGTGTTTGAACAAAATGTGGCAAATATAGAGAAAAGTTATAGACCATAGAATGGAGGCAAATCAGACACGGTAGAGAAATTTCTGAACCACAGGATAGCTGTTCTAGGAGACACCGGACTAACTTCGTTGTTTTAGTGCAATCAATTATGTAATGTATTTTCTAAACCACCACAAGGAAAAAACCATCTGTGAAGGATGCTCAGGTCCAATGGTCTTAACCTAAGAAGCACAAATACTTCTAAGAAGGTAACGTGCCGTGTCTGACACCAACACGACACAACACTCGTCAAACACTTCCCAACACTTAGACACACATGAAACACATTACAAGTTTGAATAAAATATTTAGAATCAAATGATAAAACAAAAACAACGTAAATTTATACCTATTTTCCTTCTTTAGACTTTAAAAATTATTATCTTTGACTTAAATATTCATAAATATGACATGTAGTAATTATTTATTCTTATATATGACATATAATAAATATATAAAATTATATATTAAGCACACGTCCCCTACATGTCGTGTCTTTATTTTTTGAAAATGTCCATATCGACGTGTCCGTGTCCGTGCTTCTTAGGTCTTAACCAAGGCAATACAATAACCACATGTAAATGATATGATCTTTCCACACTGATCAGAACCTTCATATTCCACTAATGAAGTTAAAATCATATTTCATATCACTCACAATGACATGCCATTGTCAATTCAATATAGTAGTATTTCAAAGGGAGAAGAGAAAATATCCTTACCAAATGAGCTACAACACTAAGATTGTCAGGGAAAATCTTCAACAATTTTTGCTTTGCTGGTTCATAAACACCAACAAACATTGCAGAAGCCCTGTGAATAGGAAAATTTATCATCAAAAGCATTGAAATATATATACATCTAATGTCAAGATTAATAAAACTGCAACATTGTCAAAGGTTTCTTTATCTTTTACAACATCTAGACTGAACTTTTTAATTAGCAAAGAGGAAAAGTAACTATGACTCTGAAAGTAAGTAGGCAAAGGAAATGCTAGAAGATTTTAAGGCATTGAAATTTTTTCCAGATTTCATAGTTTAACTCAAACATGCTGATGATATAAACAACAAAGTTAGCTCAGTTTCCAACATCTTAAGCTTTTAGAGAAGACAGTTGGTATCAAACAGGTGGACTTTCATAAACATTGGCCTCGGAAATTTCCGTGAAAACAACAAAAGAAAGTTTTCCTCTTGCTACCACAAAACAACAAGCGAGCTAAAAAAATTTGAGGATGATGGGAGCTGCTAATAGCCCCCACCTTCTTTATTTTATTTTATTTTTTTTACAAATTAACCCCAACATAAAATACCAATTTTATCCTCATCCCTAACCTCCCAAACCCAAACCCAAACCCCAACCCCAACCCCAACCAACTCTACTCCACACACTACAACCACCACCTGCAGCCACCCATAATCAGGGGCTAGTATAAGCTATGAAGTACGGATATGGATATGGATACAGCGATACGAAAAAACCTATCAAAATAGGATACATACAGGTACAGACAAGACATATTGAAAAAAAATATATAATATTATTATTATATTATACATGAGCTCAAAGAATAGTGGGAAATCATCCATCAAAAACTCTATATTAGTTTAAGAGTCAATAGTTAGTTTACTTGTTTTTTTTTTTTGCCCCCGCTGAATACATTAACATGATAAAATCTGAAAAAGTAAAGTACTACTTTAATCTCACTATTTTCTTCTTAAGTAACAAATAAGAAAATATAGAAAATTATTCTTGTATTTATTCTAACAATTATACTTTAATATGCACACAAAAAAAATTACAATTTCAATTTTTTTATAGTTTGAGTGTGAGGCCTAGAGCGTCTGAAAAGTATATGATACTTCTCAAAATTAACATCAAGTATCATTTACATTTAGGAAGTATCGGATACGTATCCATGAGTATCCAAGGAATATCGGTATCCAATATAGACACGATATGGATACAACTCCCTTTTAAAAGTATCGATGCTTCATAGTGTATAACATATAAAATCCATATTAACATGAGAACAAGTAGCCTGGAAATCTATGGAAGTAATCCAGTTCAAATTGCACTTACGGTAGAACTCCAACAAGATTTCCAGCCAGTCCAGAATAAAGCCCCTTCAAAATTATTTCTCCCCCACCACGAGCTGCCTTTAATAAGAGAATTTGATGGAAAAATTAACAAAAGTCATATAAAAACTCATTACATAATAATAATAATAAAACGTGTAAATTGTTGGGAATATATAAAGAAGTGTTAAATTCACCCTTAAGGATTCGGTACACTTTCTGTTATACAGTCTCATATTTTAAGGATAAGACATTGGCATAGGAATCCAAACATTTTCTGCCATCATTTTGAGTCCCAAAACAGAAAGGTCAAGAAATGGATTAAAAAGCTAAGATGTGAAAACAAAAAAGAATAAAAGACTATTTTTGTGAAATAAACCTATAGCAAAAATATATTTGAGCAAAGAATTTCATGTCTTTGATCCACACAGATGCAATACAGTCAAGAGGCTAGAGGGTACATATGTGTTGAATTGGTATTGCTACATATCTACTTAAGTCATCAAACCAGGTTCATTACCGGACCTGTATAGTTCATACTTAATAGTGTCAGGAAATCGCAACCAATGCAACACAGATAAACACGGTAAACGAAATGTCTAGCTAATGATGATTAACACTCCTCTTACTCACACATCAGGCCAAGACATTGCATTTAAACATCAAGATGTGAATACAAGGCAAAGTTCTTAATATTCATTTCAAATCAGCATAACCCATACAGTTGACCTGCCTGAAGTCGCGTCTTTATTGTATCAATTGGGTATAGAGCTGTTTCAACAACAACTCCAGCTGTCCCTCCTGCTATAACACCCTCTGCAATATTCACCATAATAGTTAGAGACATGAAATGTACAGACAGATCTTTCTGTCCGCTCTAGCATCAATAAATCTAACAAACTAAAAATATTTGGACTAAAATACATTGTTTTCTCCCTTTTTAATGAACGAAGAGTGAAAATTTTAAACCTTCAAGCATTATTTCAGATGCAAAAGATTTGTTTGTTCCAACAGTCCAATTTTGGTATTTTACATGTTTTAATTGTTAGATTTCTAATATATCTCATTTTTATTATAGACACCAGAATCTTGCAACTGTAGTGACTGCTTACTCATTTTCTATGCAAGATGATGCTTCAACTCGGTAATCCAACTATGAAAGTTTCTAATCACTTGAATAAAGCTGTATGCATGGCTAACAAGAATTGCTTGTGTTTAAAATCCTTATTGCTGCTTTTCCATACATCTATATGTCAAGCAAGAGAATCAGAAACAAAAACTTTTTCACTTAATTACTGTTGATTTCCATGTACTCGAATTAGCAAGTCTATACAACATGGAAAAATTCAATGTTTATGTTTTGGTTCTTTTGTTTTGGTGTTATTTTCATAGTAACCAAAATGAAGTTCAATCTTTTATGATCAGTATTATCTTACAAAAATAATATTTCCTCTTCCAAAATAAATCTACCCTACAACCTTTGCCATTGCTCAAAGAAATAGTTAAAGCTTGGCCCTTATCTCTGTACCGAGTCCACCCCTCCCAACACCTTCAGGATGGGCAGACCAAACACTATGTGATGACCTTTCAGGTCTTTAATCATCTACATACACTTAAGGAATTTGAGCTAGAAATTCTGCTCAAACTTATGTCTTCCGACCAAATTCTGGCATTCAATACATGCTTTCAGCTCAGATACAATAACCACTGAAAAAACTTCAGCATTAGTCTATAAGCATACCAAAAAAAATTCGTAAAAAATCAAATGGCTTGTCTTCTCCTGTGCTGACTGACGCAAAAAACCTTTTTGTTTCCAACTGTAAATTCCGTGCTTTCCCATTGGACGCATCTGCAAAAACAGACCACCTGCTCAAACAAGCAGTGAAAAATACAACACAACATTACTGAGGTAAACGTTAACCAGAATCAATAGATAAACTCGTAGAAAAATAAGATTTGCAATACCCGATATAAAATAAATTGATAGATAGAGAATAAATTGTATGTATTATTGATTGATGTTTGTAATTGTTGATCTATTGAATGTTACAATGATTCCTATATATAGAAGAGTAGGTGGTAGTTGGAGGTGGTAGGTGGAGTAGGTAAAGTGGAGGTGGTAGGTGGAGTAGGTGAAGTGGAGGTGGTAGTGGTGTAGTGGGTTTAGTGGAGTAGGTGAGGTGGTAGTGGTGTAGTGGGTTAGGTTTAGTGGGTGAAGTAGGTGATAGGTTTTAACACCCGAGTATTTTTCTAACCACCAAATTGGACTATTGAGATAATTCTTTACAAGATGAGCACAAATGAGGATCATAAGCTCTTTAAGAGCAATGGTAAAATTACTTTTCTATATACTCATACTATAGAAGACACCCTAATATAAGTTCCTTATCACTGAAATCGCAGATCCAACTAGGTTTCTGCATTGATTTCACTCACACTGAAAGATAGATTCTTACTAAGAACTAAGACTAGAGAACAACTGGTCAAATTGTACCTTGCTTACTTTGTTGTGGTATAATTGTTATAATGATTTCATAAGTTCATAATTATGGAATGTTCTAACAAAATGGTAAAAACATAAGCCTGGATATCTTATCAGACCATCTTTAAGATGGCCAGATTTTGCATTCTCTCCAGTTGGTGAAATGATAGAAGCCTAAAGCAACTGAACTAGCGGTTAATAAATTCTTCATCTGAAGTGACTGAAGATTCTTCATGTGCAAGTGTACAATACCAATCCACTAAAACTTCTCCACAGCAGTAAAATGTCACAAACCAAGGTCTGGTTTTCCGAGAAGTATCTTCAGCTCTTGTTAAAATTCTCTTAAACACTAAACAAATCTGAAGCAGTAAGCATTTTACTAATTCCCTTGCACACAGCTAGCTCCATGACAATCTTTATGGCCACTGCTACACCAAAGGACAAATAGAGGATCTGTAGCATAGGCAGAAGCACATAGCATGCACCTTATAATTCCACATAATAACTCATGCTCCTCAAACGCTGTTCTATTAATCATCAACATACTGTATAAAGTATCTATTAGAGTACATAGAACCAACCTGGACCTAACCTAAACATGATGACCTAAACATGATGATTGAACAAAGCAGGGATAAATAGCTAGAAGAGGTGGAACCAACCTGCACCAAACCTAAACATGATGACCACACAAAACAGGGATATTTCAAGCAGACAAGAACTGCCTCTGCAGATCGGAGACTACTTTCGCCATTTTCAAATTTGGTTCACACATCATGTGGTATACATTTTTCATCTCTTTGTGAAGCAAGAAGGAATTCCTAAAATCCTTCAGTTTCTGTCCATCAAATGATAAACTGAGGCAGCAACAGTAACTGGGTCCACCCATAGAACAACTGAAGAAGGCATTGCAACTTGGAATGCTCAAGGAAACTTCTAGAGTCCATCCACCGACAGCATTATCAATTCCACACATACTTTATCAGTTAGTTCTACCATCACTTAGATAGTCGAAACACTTGGGTTGGGCCCAAGGATAAACTGCTACAAGCATTGAATTACATTTATGTAAGATTCCTTGCAACAACTATGCTCAACTTCTTCTTCTTCTTCTCTCTCTCTCTCTCTCTCTTTTTTTTTTTTTTTCGATAGCAGGAAAATTAAAAGGCAATAACAGTGATAAGTAAATCAACTTCTGCATGTCAATGAACTCAAAACATCTATAAATTTAGATTCAATTCCAGAAATATTACTAAGAAAGGTAAACAACAATTTGTTTTTGATATGTATGCATGTACAAAGTGAAGCGTGGTGATAGAAACTATGTAGCACTGTGAATGACAAGTAATCTTGAGTTTATTCAACAGGTTTAATCATTTGGCATGTTTATTTGATGCTATACACCGATATTTTAAATTTATACTCTTTGCTAAAGCAACACTTGCTAAGAAGCTCAAATACTTTTATGGAGGAGGCATGTCATGTCGGACATGACACTTTGCAGATACTCTTAGGCCCTGTTTGTTTGGCTTCATAAGTGAGTGGATTGGACTAATAGTGAGGGAGGATCACATAGAGGGTGTTTGGTTGTGGAAGATTGTGATGGGATTAACACTCCAAAGGGACTAGCAATCCCTCTCCTTGGTTGGACTAGCATGGAAGGAAAACATATGGGATTAGAAATCTAGTGATGGGATTAATGGATTAAAATATTAAATAAAAAGGATTAAAGTATTTTTAATATTATTTTTTTCAAATAATTTATTTGTGAAAAAAAAATTGAATTTTCACATAGAGGGTGTTTGGTTGTGGAAGATTGTGATGGGATTAACACTCCAAAGGGACTAGCAATCCCTCTCCTTGGTTGGACTAGCATGGAAGGAAAACATATGGGATTAGAAATCTAGTGATGGGATTAATGGATTAAAATATTAAATAAAAAGATTAAAGTATTTTTAATATTATTTTTTTCAAATAATTTATTTGTGAAAGAAAATTTGAATTTTTTAATAAATACTAAAAAATATGATGTTTTTATATTTAGTGAATTTTTAAATGATTTTTACTCAAAATTTATATTTTTTAAGTGTCTAGATTAAGTGGACTTAAAAAGTACAAAAATAATAACAATTATAATATTATAAAATACTAAAAATTAAAAAATATTAATTTTATATTAATACTATTTATTGTATTATTAATCCGGTGGTGAACAAACAAACACTCTTTATCCTTCATCTCCAACTTAATACCACTACATTAATAATCTCCTCACTCAATCCTACCATACTCTTAATCCCTTCCATCCTATGGAGCCAAACAAACGAGGCCTTAAAAAGCATGTCAAACACTTCTTGATTTAGAATGATTAACAAGAATTGAAATATCACTTTTGTCAAAATCGCAAGAATATGTCAAACCTAAAAGGTCCTCACTTGAGGCCATGTTGAAGAGTTTCTACCATGTTGATACTAAGGCCAAGTTTGGCATGGTTGAAAAAAGACAAAAAGTTAAAAAGTTACTATCCTATTTAAGTCATATCATCTTATTTAAGTCACATTACCTCTCTAACACATCATTTCAAACCCAACCCAAACCCAACCCATATTTCATAAAAAGTCAAAAAGTGCACTTATTTAGTCTTCCCAAACTAGGCCTAACACACATTAATCACACCAAAATGCCAACGTTGCAAACACATATATATTACCATGACAAAATGCCAAAGTTGTAGTTCTAAAAATTATTAATAAAAGAAGGCATTTTGAACATGCATAACACTTTTGTCCTATATTAGGCAGTTTTTCAAAGTTCTAAAAATTATTAATAGAAGAAGGCATTTCGAACATGCATAACACTTTTGTCCTAGATTAGGCGGTTTTCAAAATATCCCAAAGCTATGCAACAAAATTTAGCCTATGCGTTCATTACTTCATAGACTTCACAATATTTCATTGGTTGATAATGTCCACCTTTTGCTTGCGACAGCTATAATTCTCGAATTGAAACTAGGAGGTACAACTTGGGTGAGCCAACCCAGATTCAACCTACAAAATTATTTGGGCAGTATAATTTCAAATTGGTCTAAACTTGACCTGAATTAAATTCAGTCCATGCCTGAGCCAAGACGCCCACAACCCAAGCTACTTGAACTCTATTATTATTATTATTATTATTTTCTCATGTTGGATTAAATCGTACTGCAATATAAAAATAAAAATAAAATAAAGCACAATCTGAATCAATCGCACAATATCTCTCCCCTCCTACCCCGTCCACCTCCCTGCGAGATCCCGTACCACCACTGCCTCCCAGTGACAACCCCGGTTGGGTAAAGATAGCTTTAAAAAATTAATGTCTTCATCGCGTGTGCATCTTGCCAGCAATTATCATATATAAGGGAAAACATTAGACTCTAATCAATTTTCTTATTATGTTTCATGTTGATCATTTTTTTATTTCTTTTTTTCTCTTTTATTTTCAAAAAGTTCAATACATTGATTTTAGGACAATTCAAATGTTCAATCAAAATAAAAAATTTATGTTGAATTCAGCCAACACGAGCCTAACCCGAGTTCTTCGAGATAAGCTTGGCTCAGGCATGGGCCGGGCTTGACAAATCCCTCTAACACTGTGTTTGGTTTGAGTGATTTGGAAAGAAAATAAAAGAAATGGTGAGAAATTGATTTCCCTTGTTTGGATTACCAAATATGAGAGAAATTGAGAGAAATACATTTATCTAACCCCTATTTTCAATCTCTCCAAAAGTGGAGAGAAATGAAAGCACTATTATTTTATTATAATTCCAAAACTACCCTTTTAGATACAGAACAAATAAAAAGACTAATTTGATAATATAACATTACATCATTTCTTTTCCTTTCTTTTATATTACTCAACCAATCCTAACCAAACAAGATAGGAGAAATCAATATCATTTCTTTTCTATTCTCTCTTATCTATCCAAACAAAAGGAAAGAAATCACAATATATATATATATATATATATTTTTCTTTTTCTTTAAAGGAAAGAAATCACAATATATATATATATATATATTCTTTTTCTTTTCTTTTCTCTTATGACTTAATCATTTCTTTGCTTTTCTGTAAATTTGGGATTGAACTTGGAGCCTCTGCTAGACCGAACCCTCCTGAGTTGCAGGGCTAGCTAAATGAAATTGACCATCAAGTAAATGTAAATGTAAATAACTAGAGTCACAATTTTAACTCGGGAATAGTCTCAAAGACAAAAATGCTTGCAATCAAAGGTCAAATGTCAAAAAAAGTTACCTGATGAGAAAATACAAGAGCTTTTCGAGTCCACTGCTAATGTAAGAGGACCCATCCAAAAAAAACTACTACAGAATCAACTAAATTTGATCAGAAAATTGCTCGTCATCAAATTGATCAATTTTAAACCAAACCACCAAAATAAACATATATATATATATATAGAGAGAGAGAGAGAGAGAGAGAGAGAGATTACAGCGGAGCAGAGTCGAGCAGAGCAGTGCTGTAATTCTCGTTCCTTCGGAAATGTGGGTAAGGTGTGTGTGTATGTGGGCCAATTTCCCGGGCATCCCCCCTAAATAAGCTAAAATAGTAAATCAATTCTCAAAATAAGTCTAGTTTTCAAAGAGTTTTCAAAATAAGCTAGCTCGCGGTTCACAATCGCGATTTTAACATATTTCACCAGTTTCGCATGATAGTTGGGAAATCTTAAATTTGTGGTTACGAAAAGTGATTTTGATTAAGAAATCGCGGTTGCAAAACGCGATTTTAATTATTTTTTTTTTTCTTTTGAACTCGCTATTACAAACCACGTTTTGAACTCGCTGTTACAAACTACGATTTCATCCAAAAAAAATTTTGTTCTGAATTCGCTGTTAACCACGCTTTTAGGGAAAAAAAAAAATTTTGTGAACTCGTGGTTTGTAACCACGAGTTTAGAACACTGACACCCTACACATCACTCATACTTAGGGTTGGTTTGGGGTGTCCTAAAAAAGTGCAATTTTTGTCTTTTTACGAAAAGATGTGCAGAAAAGTAGAGAGGTGATGTGATGGAAAAAAGATAAAAAATGGATTATATAGTAGATGCCAAACCAACCCTTAATATATATAGTGAACTCGTGGTTTGTAACCACGAGTTTAGAACTGCTACTCAACACATCACTCACACTCAATATATATTTATAATTTAATATATATATATATATATATAAATTTTATTTCATAAAATTGAAACTAATATAAAATAATTATTTTTTTATTTTAATTCTTAATTTTTTTTAATTTTACTGTTTAGGGATAAAATTTATTTTTTTTGATTTTTGGGTTTAAGGTTTAATTCTTAAAATTTATTTATTTTTATTTTAGGGTTTAGGATTTATAAAAAAAATAAATTTTAAGAATTAAATTCTAAATTCTAAATCCTAAATTCTAAACTCTAAAATAAAAATAAATAAATTTTAAGAATTAAACCCTAAACCTTAAAATAAAAAATAAATAAATTTTATCCCTATACACTAAGGTAGTGTTGGTAACATTTACGTTTTTGGTTTATGTTTACAAAAATTTTATAAACTGATTTCTGTTTATTTTTAGAAAAACATAAATTACAAACGTGTTTCGTTTGTACAAAATGTTTAAAAAAAATTTAAAACATAAACTAAAAATATGTTTGTTCAAATCTAAAATATTTATATTTATACTCATTATTAATGACAGTGGAATCACACATATTATAATTGAAAAAAATTAATTAAAAAAATAATTATACTTATTGAAAAATAATTTAAAAAATTAATTAAAAATAATTAAAAAATAATAATTAAAAAAATTTATATGTGTGATCCCACTGTCATAAATTATATGTGTGATCCCACTGTCATAAATTTTGTTTAATTATTTTTTTTAAGTTTTTTAATTAATTTTTTAATTAATTATACTTTTTTAAGGTTTAATTTTTTTTTTCAATTAGAATTTAGGGTTTAGAATTTAGAGTTTAATTCTTAAAATTTATTTTTTTTATAAATCCTAAACCCTAAAATAAAAATAAATAAATTTTAAGAATTAAACGTTAAACCCAAAAATCAAAAAAAAATAAATTTTATCCCTAAACAGTAAAATTAAAAAAAATTAAGAATTAAAATAAAAAAATAATTATTTTATATTAGTTTCAATTTTGTGAAATAAAATTTATATATATATATATTAAGTATGAGTGATGTGTAGGGTGTTAGTGTTCTAAACTCGTGGTTACAAACCACGAGTTCACAAAAAAAAAAAATTTCCCTAAAAGCGTGGTTACAAACAGCGAGTTCAAAACAATTTTTTTTTTTATGAAATCGTGGTTTGTAACAGCGAGTTCAAAAGAAAAAAAAAATTAATTAAAATCGCGTTTTGTAACCGCGATTTCTTAATAAAATCGCTTTTCGTAACCACGAATTTAAGATTTCCCAACTTTCACGCGAAACAGGCGGAATATGTTGAAATCGCGATTGTGAACCGCGAGTTAGCTTATTTTGGGAATTCTTTCAAAACTAGGCTTAGTTTGGAAATTCCTGTACTATTTTAACTTATTTATGAAAATGGCCCCAATTTCCTTGTTTGGGGCGTTTTCAAAATTTTAGTCCCACTTTAGGGTGTGTTTTTATCTTTATTCTCAAAGTAGGATAAAACGGTTTTTGTAATGCCGTTTTTCAGAAAATGATTTTTCAAAAATCGTATTCATCGATTAAAATAATAACAAAATTTGAAAATAGAAATCGACTTTTCTAAAGCCATTTTTAATTAACTTTTTAATTAATTATGATTTAATCAAAAACGGTTTTCGTAAAACCGTTTTCCCATTAATTTTTTTATTTATTTATATTTTCAACATAAATATTTTTTGTTCAAAATTTTTTTTTAATGAAAACCGGTTTTAGAAAAGCCGTTTTTCAACATTAATTTTTTTTTAATTTATATTTTCAAGATAAATATTTTTTGTTCAAAATTTTTTTTTAATAAAAACCAACAGTAGTGAGGGTTGTCACAGCTGAAGAGGAGAGATGAGAGAGGAGAGAGAAGAGATAGTCTCACATAGAGTAGAGGGAGAAGAGGGCATTTTTCCCTTACTGTGCCATTCTCACAACTTTATTCCCACTCTAGGGTGGGTTTTGTTCTTTATTCCCATTCTAGGGTAAAACGACTTTACCAATGTGTTTTATAAAAAAAAAAAAAAAAATTCCTTACACAAAACCGGCGTTTGAAAAGTCATTTTTACTTAACTTGTAATTAATTCTGAGTTAATTAAAAAAAAATTTGGTAAAAGCCTTTTTTTAGTAAATATTTTTTTTTAAAATTTATATTTTCAACATAAATATTTTTTGACGACAAATATTTTTAATAAAAAATGGTTTTAGAAATTTTTTTTTTTTAATTATGTTTTCTCGTGTGGGAAGGTTGGACTTGGGAATGAAAATATGAGTAAGAAAGCAGCAATTTCAATGCATTCAAAGATGGGTTTCTTTAGAAAATTACAGTACAAATAAAAATAAAAATTAAAACGTAATGCTTGCTTTGAGTTTTCTAAAACATTTTTTAGAAAATTCTATTTTCTTATTTTTCATATTTTTTTGTTTTTGTTGAATTTTTTAATATTTTAAGTTTTTAAACATACCTAGCATAAATACACTAAATGCCAAAAATAAAAACAAACAGAAAAAAAGGAATTTTTGTAGTTCAAATTTTTTGAAAAAAAAATTCCAAAATCACTTTTAAAAAATTTTCAAAATTTCAAAGTGTTTACAAAACCCACCCTGGAGTGGGAATAAATATTTTATGTTTTAAAATATTATAATTTTTCAAAATTTGAACTACAAAAATTTGTTTTTTCTGTTTGTTTGTATTTTTGACATTTAGTGTATTTATGCTAGGTATGTTTAAAAACTTAAAATATTAAAAAATTCAACAAAAACAAAAAAATATGAAAAATAAGAAAATAAAATTTTCTAAAAAATGTTTTAGAAAACTCAAAGCAAGCATTACGTTTTAATTTTTATTTGTATTTGTGCTGTAATTTTCTAAAAAAACCCATCTTTAAATGCATTGAAATTGTTGCTTTCTTACTCATCTTTTCATTCCCAAGTCCAACCTTCCCACATGAGAAAACATAATTAAAAAAAAAAATTCTAGAACCATTTTTTATTAAAAATATTTGTCGTCAAAAAATATTTATGTTGAAAATATAAATTTAAAAAAATTAATGTAAAAACTTTATATTTTAAAACCACTTTTTATTAAAAATATTTTTTGGTAGTTTTCATATTTAAGTTGAAAATATAAATTTTAAAAAATTAAAAATTAATGTAAAACCGGTTTTTGTAAAACGATTTTTCTAAAACTGTTTTTTATTAAAAAATATTTTTGGTCAGAACATATTTATTTTAAAAAAATTAATGTAAAAACGGCTTTTCTAAAACCGGTTTTTATTATAAAAAAAAATTTGAACAAAAAATATTTATGTTGAAAATATTTATTTAAAAAAAATTAATGTTGAAAAACGGCTTTTCTAAAACCGGGTTTCATTAAAGAAAAAATTTGAACAAAAAATATTTATGTTGAAAATATAAATTAAAAAAAAAATTAATGTTGAAAAACGGCTTTTCTAAAACTGGTTTTCATTAAAAAAAATTTTTGAACAAAAAATATTTATGTTGAAAATATAAATTAAAAAAAATTAATGGGAAAACGGTTTTATGAAAACCGTTTCTGATTAAATCAGAATTAATTAAAAACGGCTTTAGAAAAGTCGGTTTCTATTTTCAAATTTTATTATTATTTTAATCAATGAATACGGTTTTGTGAAAGCCGGTTTCTAAAAAACGGCATTACAAAAACCGTTTTACCCTACTTTGGGAATAAAGATAAAAACACACCCTAAAATGGGACAAATTTTGAACAAAAAATATTTATGTTGAAAATATAAATTAAAAAAAATTAATGGGAAAACGGTTTTATGAAAACCGTTTCTGATTAAATCAAAATTAATTAAAAACGGCTTTAGAAAAGTCGGTTTCTATTTTCAAATTTTATTATTATTTTAATCGATGAATACGGTTTTTCAAAAATCGTTTTCTGAAAAACGGCATTACAAAAACCGTTTTACCCTACTTTGGGAATAAAGATAAAAACACACCCTAAAATGGGACTAAAATGTTCAAAACGGCACAAAGAGGGAAATTGGCCGTATATGTGTGTGTGTGTGTGAGAGAGAGAGAGAGAGAGAGAGAACTGTTTGGCGTTTGGAAATTGGAATGTGTATGTAGTAGTAAAATTTGGAATTTGGAAGTATAGATATTAGGGGTGAAATCGGTTCGGTTCGGTCGGTTTTTCACTGGTTTTGCACCGAATCGATCATTTCGGTTTTTCATATTTGTGAACTGAACTGTCAAGAAAAATAACATAAATCGGCGCGGTTCGATTTATTACGGTGCGGTGCGGTTTTTTCGGTTTTTTGATTTTTTGGCCTTTTTTTTTCCTGGTTGGGCCTCACATTTTGGGCCTATATTTCTATCCATTTTGCATAAAATTTGGGTTCAGGCTATG